TGCTAGAGCGTAAGGGAGATTATTGTGAATGCGTGCAACGTCTATAGGATCTTCTGGTGTTTTGTAATTATTAGTACCGTCTTCGTAAATACCAATGGGAAGGTGGCCACAAATGGCTTCAGGGCTAGATGGAGTCAAATCGTGTGTACCAGGTTGCACGTAGTAAATGTCTTTACCAATGCGTACTGGCGTGAAAATGTAACAAACTCCGCTCACCTCGTGGTCTAGATAAATTTCGTCGACTTGAACTTGCTTACACTTAGTAATCATGAGCACATCACCAGCAGCAACAGCAAAAATATCCTCTCTATTGAGTAGAATTCGGGCTGCACTAGTGGGATCTATCTGAGATATACTTCGTATTGCTTAACTTTTGAAATTCGTGAGACATATGCGATCGAAAAGGTAGTTGAAATCGTGTCTAATAACTTCCTCAAGGTTGAATTTGAGAAACGCATTTTAGTACCAAGCTCAAAATGTCCTCTCAAAATGTCTTTGGTCCTGTCTTTGTTCATGCGAAAGTTCGAAATCGTTGTTAAGATGGTAAAAATCGGGTTCAACGTTTACAGCAATGTGTTGAGCTACTGCTGCGGAATCCTTAGCATTTGTGGATGTTCCATCGAGCATCTGTAAAGCTTTTCAAGCCCTAAGTGTTTGCGATTTATATCCTCTACAAAATCAGGTTTAGTAGTGAAAATATACTAGGACTATAATTTAGAAGCTCAGGCAAATAGATAAATACACCATTGTCCATAGGTATTGCTTTGTGTGGTAGACACCAAAAGGCATATTGCGTTTGGGTGTATGTGGCATTTTTGTACGTTAACGCAGTTTGGTTGCTATCTAAGACTATGCAAGAAGGAGTTACATAGGCGACATTTTCTACTGCTTTTCGTATCTGCACCAAAAGCTTTACGGTTTTCTTGTTCTACATTTCAAATAAGTGTGCCATAACTTATTTCGCAGCTGCAATTTTTGAACCTACATTTTCCCGTATCACCGAATTGACTAATCACCTTATGTCCACCATATGTGGCCATCATATGTCTCCATTTTCGACAAAAACGTTTGTGGTAAAAGTAATTTTTCGCCGAAAAACCAAGGATAAGAATAATGAATGTTATTGTCAGACGCATAAACTTGTCCCAATAGAGCTGTCAAAGGTTGTCCAAGGACTTTCTTGGTATCTGCTAAATTCCTACAATTCCTACAAATCGGGAGCTATAGGTGTCATGAATTCTTCATCGCTATTCACGGAGTAGAACATGTGTAAGTATGATGACGCGCAAATTTTTCTGGTTTTATTGAAGCAATGAAAAGCATTAGCTCAGTATGGTTCTGTGCGCTCAATAAAAACTGATGCAGTGGTAGTGAGAATCTCAGAAACCTTAGTGCCATGCCTATAAGACGTTAATTCCGGATAGGCCACCGGCCAACCAGATTTTCCAGCTGCGCACAGCTGGTAGGTATGTGAAAAAGAATAAGCAGAAGGTAAAAATAAGGAAATCATCGCCACTATAGAGAGGGAATGAGGAATCAGCCTTAAAGTCGGTGTACTGTTAGTAGAAATCGAGTCAACGTTTCTATCGCGGCGATAATTGCAATTATTATTTCAACTAGTAGGCATTTTTGGAGCTGTTCTTGATCGACAATCCCTAGAGAAAGATGGAGAATACTACGGAACCTGTCTCAAGATTTGGGGATTCTCTAGGTTTCATTTTCATTCCCATAAGGTTTTCTCTAGCCATATCCAAAAAGTGATCGTTGGAGTAGTGGTTCCGTAGCGCATTTAAGATTGAGTTCCAATTCTCTTTTTTGTGCATCTGTAAAACTTCCGTAAACAGCTTTTGCAGCACTTTTAAAATTTGCAGGAAGTAAACGTGCCATTTTCCGCTTGTTAATCCCACCATGTTACTAATTTCCACAAATTGATAAAGAAAATTCATAAGCCCGTTACTACCTTGCTCCCCGGAAAAAGTCGGAAGTTTGTTGGAATAAGAGGAAAGACAGAGCTTGTCAAAAATCGTATCCAAGCCATTGATAATGTTCATTTGGTCTACTGTAGGTAGTAGTAATAGTGGAGCCATGTTAGGTGATACAAAATCTCCAAAAGAGACTAATTCTTGCGGATTATCTATGGGGACCAGCTCTCACTGATCTGCAATTTTGTCTACAATGTCAATGTCTATGAGTTTGAAAGGCTCAAGATTAGGAATGACTACAGGAGGTGGAACAGGAAAATTGACTACGGTTTTTGCGTTTAAATTTGGCTCTCTTATATCGAAATGGGCCGATCCTCGGCGGGAGTAGAGTGTGCAAGTGGAGAAATAGATGCAAAAGAACCAGATGAAAGGTTGAAGCTGATTACTGAGGGTACAGAAGTAGTTCGAGAAAGAGATAAGTTTTGTATAGCTGATTTCACAACTGCTTTCGCTCTCTTATGAAAAGCACGTGAATGGAATGTGTTCTCTTGACTGAAGTTCTGCTTACTTTGCGGACTCTGGTCAGTGCTGTGTGATTACGCCAGCGTCTGTACCCGAGCTACTGAGGATTTTGCGGATTTCAGCTGATATCGGTATAGGATTGAATAAACCAAGGGCCACCTCTCCGATAAACATGGTTGGTTTAAAAGAAAAAAATTTTTTTCGGAAGACAAAATTTACCTTTTTCAAGTAAAAACCGAGCCGTTGCTCGTTCAGCGAAGTCCTTGCATGTCTTTCGCGACACCTCTTCAGCTCCTCACCTAGTCGTGCCGCTTCCCCTGTTTTTCCGCTCAGGCGCACTCGGAGATTCTCGCACGTACCTAGCAAATGGTTGCGAGCGTTGGAGAGGGAGTCAGCGACAGCTCCTGCTCTTCGATTTTTCTCTGAACCTCGGCGAGCTCTCTTTCCAATCTTAAAATGATCCCCTCCAATTCGAAGAGATTATTTTCTCTTGCCTGAAAGGCGAGTTGGAAGCGTTCGTCGGGGTCACTGTCCTCCGGCGGGCTTTACAGCTCGCCCAGAGAGGAGGGACGGCTGTCATGGACCTGACATCTATAATCCTTCGAGAAGCTCGTCCTCGAGCTTGCGGTAGAGTTGGGGTTTCAACTGTTGCAGTTGCTACTGGCGTAGTTGATGTTCTTCCGGGTAACGTGCATTGGATAAAAACTGTATCTTGTTTGCTCCTCGGGTGCTGTGGGTGGATGGATGGATTGTGATTGGTTGGTTGACTACGGTAGTTGGCTTGCTCGAGCAGAGATTTCGAAGGAGGAGAACAAGAGCTTGACGACCGAGCTGCGTGGGCACCAAGGGTAGAATGGCCGGAGCTCGGTGCCAGGAGGGCGGGCAACAAAAGAGTCATACTAGGTGGGCGGAGTTATTTGTTCGTTGGTGCACCTCGGCATTTACCTGGAGACGAGGACGGGGGGGGGGTTGGTTTCAGAAATTTCCCAGAAATTTGATTTCATAAAAGAAAACCGATGCAAAATCATCTGTAAGAAGTTACCTAATTGAGGAAAATCTCCCCGGGATCTCCATCCATGTCAGGATAAGACTGGCCTTGTCCTACCTGAGCGTGTAGCGGTGATATGAATATAGGAGAGATATTATATGAATGTTTATCTTAAAAGATATCATATACGATAAATAAGGGGGGAGGAGAAAAGGGGAAGGCAGCTGAGCTGCGACGGCAGCAGACAGCTCCGAGGCCGTCATCCTTGAGGGGCTCCTTTTATCCTGGTCCCGCCCACATAACACATGCCTCACGCAGACTTGTCATGCGAGGGAACTGGAGCGATAGCTTGTCCCGACATCCTATTGTTATTTTCCAATGAATTTTGGGATACGTGGCACATGTCATACCTAACTTTACTGCGAGATATTCAAAAAAAGCTTTTTAAACAACCGAGACACAATTCAATAGTATCTATAAATTGGCGAAATTGTATTGGATCAAGCGCCTTGCGGATGCTGGTTATATGGTAGAGTCATAGTAATTATTCTAGAAAGGGCAATGAAGACTGTAGAATAAATTTTCAAATGGCAAATAAAAGAATACTGCAGAGACGAGTGAATAGGATTTATCCTCTAGAAATACACTTATCAGAGAATAACGGCCGCTACTTGTTCAGTAAGAGATCCGTGCAAGCTTAATGAGACGCGAGGTCAGTCGGAGGTGCAGAGTGTACCTCACTTGTTACAACAGTTGTTGACATGATCGATATCCGATAATCCAACAACATCCATGGGGAGCAAGAAAAGAGGAGAGAGGGAGAGTGAGGGCGAGTATATGGCTGCAGAACTTCTAGTTTTTAGGGCAGTGAGATTTTTAAAAGAGAAAACGAACGCCAAAACGGTGACAGGGCCATAAGAGCCATGTGAAAGGATTGGTAAGGCGGAAGTTGAGAGTTCAGTTCTCATCAATTCCATAAACGCTCGGAAGCAGTCACGAAATAATGCAAGCCAAAGAACAACTGAAAATAACGTCTTCGCTTCTAGTAAGGAAGGGGACACTCATTTTTACACAAAAATCTGCCTACCTGAACGTGGCTTCTTTCCTCGCCTTCGAAAATGATGTTCATAAAGCTTTTTTCAAGATGAAACTGCACTTGCTCCTTTGAAAGGGCTAACATAGAAATAATCCTTTCAATGATTCACTTTTTTCCTCATCCTGATTTCTTCTGGAAGGAGATTCCTTTCCTCGCTGTTTTGTTTGAGAGTGCGCATGCTCTGATGCTAATTATCTGACCTCGCTGAAAGCGCGAACAATGACTTTTTGATTTCTCTGCTGCTTTTCAAAGAATTTGTTACAATTAATCGTTTTTTTTCTACTGATTATCAAATGACATTCTTCTGCAAAATAGTCCAATTGAAACCACTGTAGTTTGATGTAAAGTTTCATTTCAAGAATTATTATGGGATCAAAATGCACCACCAGTTTGTTTACAGCAAAGTTATTATGGTGTCGTTAGGCCTGTTTTTTCTGAACATCCATTGTTGTCAATCGCAAATATTGAATTTAGACATGACAACAGTGGTGCTTGACCCACGTTCCATTATCGAAGCTCTTTCATGTGTTCAATCAGGCATCACGGCAGAGGATATCACTCATCCAGCAGTACGTTCAACTTTTCTCCGTACCGATATTTCTCCGAATTTTAACAGTGATGTTCTTCTTGTTGCTTTGTCTAGAATGTTCTCATTAGACTGAGAAATATTACAACCTTCTTTGTCTGGTGTAGGTGTACGATTTCAGGCGAATCGCGTGCAGTCAATTTACAATGCGTTCTGTTCCCATATACTTGAAGTACCGGAGAAATGCTTGAGTGAACTTCCATTTGGTTGTCAGCTGAATCCTGAAACCCTTGAGTTGCAACACAAAAGTACACCGCTGCTCTTGCTGTTTACTACGATGTGAGTAACCATTAGGCCTCGCAGAGTTCATGCAATTTCATCGTCGCGATTCATCGCGGCAAGACAACTGTTACAATATCATTGCATGCCGATCTTCTTGCATTTCGGTTGTGATAGTTTTCCAACACGACTAAGCGTGGCTAACTATCACAACCGAAAACAAGAAGATCGGCATGCAATGAACTCGTAACGCTTGTCTTGTTGCGATGAATCGCGGCGATGAAGTCGCGTGAACTCCGCCCGAGGCCGGGATGTTAAAAATCAAGTGAAAGTTGATTGCGCGGTATTGATTTTAGTCACTATTGGTCGAACAACAGTGATTTCCAGGTGTTTTCTAGCAATCTGCTTGATATATCTTACAGGCGCTGTTTCATTACCGATTTTGGGGATGGCGAGTTGGATTTTACTATGTGTGATCTCATAAATCCTAGTCCGAGAAGAACTCGGAGATTATTCTCTGTCATGGCTGACTATGCTAACTACTACAAAATAAGTTTTAGTCACAAATTGTTCATTTCGTTTTTTGTTTTTCCTTGATTCCTACTCTATCTTGATTTGGTTTAGACTGCATCGCAAGTGTTTGAAAAGACTTGCGCCGAGTACGATGACGCTCGCAAAGCTATAGAGGATGGCCAAGAGCAGGTTAGTTGCTCGACATGAGAATTGCACATAGTAATCATCTTCTCTTCTTACTTGTTTTCACTGATTTATGATTCAGATAAATTTAGATACGCCGTGAAGAAATGCGCAAAGCCGCACTCCGCAGCGAACAAGATGCTAGGAAAAGGAAGGAGAACGCGGTATGCAATATCTTCTCTCATTTGCTTTGCAAGCTACTAATCTGACTTTTTAGCTCTTGGCTGAGTACAATTCAAAAAATACCGTCCTCACCGAACTAATCAAGCAGTCGCAAGCAAACGAAGCGAGAAGAGACGCGCTGTTGGCGTCAATAAAATCAACAAAAGAGGAAAAGGTGAGATTTTTGGGGTACTTAAGCCTACGTGGTCCTTTGGAATTTTGATTTTCCATGTGTCTCTTGATCCACCCCATGTCAGAATCCTTTATTATCTTTTTTGATTCTAATGTATTGATGGTAACAGAGGAAGTTTTCGCCGCGGCGCTCAATTTGGAATGGGCGGTAGAGATTTACAAGACGCGATATTTCCTGCTGAAATAGGTCTGTTTTCCGAAATGGTCTGGCATATTTCATAACCAGCCATTTTCGCATACCCGCCATAACTCTGGAACTCGGCGCTATAAATATAATGGTGCCATTCGACTTCATCACCGCCTAAACTTCCCTACTAAGTATGGCTCATGAGCTCGACTATTGAAGAGTAGTGTTGCGGCGCAATGCAAAATTGACAAAAGTTTCTGCCACTATCTTGATTGATCTAAAGTTCTGAGATATTTTCTTTTCGCAATTCATATGTGAATCTAGCCAAAGAGAACGGATTCGAGGTTAGCGCTTGAGTTTAAAAACGGGTTTGTGCTCTTGGATGAACTCGTTTTTATTTCTGCCCCAAAATCTCATTGCATATGCCATGTTATGTGAAATGATGGTGTCGTATACTAAAATTGTGCAGAAAAGCCTGCTCGTGGAAATCAAATCTCTTCAAAACGAGATCGAACATCTGACGAAAGGTATCGTCAATTCACCTGAACGAGTGCGTGGCGAAGCGAACTTCCAACGCGAAGAGATAAAACGTCTCCAGAATAACTGCAAAGAGGAAAGGTATTGCATCCTATGAGATCTTTCATTGATATAACAATATACTTTTCCCCTACAGCCAGAGAATCTCTAACAATGCCGAGTCAATGTCAATCATCGAGCAAGCAGCAAAAGTCCTCAACGAACGTTTCCACGAACTTGAAAAGTTCGGTGATTTGAAGGTAAATCGTTTTGGACAAATAATCATACGAAAAAGAAGGCAATTCTAGACTCAAATTCAACTTCTGGAACAAGATGCTTCGCAGGCCAAAGCTACCCTAATCGAAGCAACAAGAAGCAGACAACAGACGTGTGAGGAGCTCTCCGTGAGTTGTAGTATTTTTCATTTGGTTTGATCATTTCCAAGTATTCAAGGAATTTTTTCTCCAAGCTTATGTTGCTCATGTTCTTTGGATATGATATTAGTCCATTTGAATCACACAGTGTCTGATTGTGCAATGCTTGTGCTTTCTTATGTGCAATGCTTTGTTATCAAGGGATTAGTTTTATTTGTATGATCATTTTCATGTTTTTCGAAATTTTCTTACTCAGAAGGTGATAATGACATGGTCGCTTGGAAATGATTCCTGATATAGAAGGTTTCTATATAGCACTTAGCTCTATTCTAGGCGCATTGAGAGCAAGTTAATTGTCCAGTTATCAAGATTTTTCTTTGAACTTCTTTGATTCCAGTATAAATTAGTATGCTGTGAAGAAATTTCTGCATCTATCTTCTGATACAGCTTATTATGTAATTATTTTATACCGACAATGCATAATATCAAATTCAGAAACTAGCTGCGTCTGGCAGTGAAGAAGTGAAGAAGTATGAACGTGCGCGAGAACTCTACAGAACACGACTAGTGGATCTGAAGACGAAGAAAGAGGAGTTGAACGAGTAAGTGAAAGCCTGTGAGATTTTTCCTCCAAAATATTATCATTAATACGCACTACTTCTATTTCTTGGACATCGCATCATTCTAGCGCCATCATAGCACTAAAAGGGAATGATCCTTGCGTACGTGGCGAAATGGTTCAGATTAGGAACGAAATGCAACGTCTGGGTAAGGAACGAGCTGACGAAAACAAGTATGCTCGAATGCAATGCTTAGAACTCTTAAGTCGATTTGCTGACTTGGTTGAAAAGGTAAGTCATGACAAAGGATTTCAATATTTTGTTGACCTTTCGAATTTTTTAGATTTTTCATATCTTTCATATTTCTCCTGCTCACATATGACATATTCTTCCGGGGAAGTTTTACTTCCACATTTTGTGGCAGAATTTGCCTAAAATTATAGCAAATTCAAAATACTGTATTAGTGGTGGATATGGTGAATATTTAGATCAAATATGGTTCAAATATGAGAAACAATGAACCAAACTCAAAAGAGCTCCAGCTGACATCATTGAATTTGCCATTTCCGCCCACTGCTACCTATCTATCATTACCCCAGCATTGTGCTTTTTAGTACCAACGAGCGGAAAAGTTGTTCGATTCGCAAACGGCAGCTTTTATGGAAGTAATCCACGAACTCAACGACGTTCTCGAGGAAGGCGAACAGTCAATAGAACAATCAGTCCAAAAGCACCTGGATCTGCTCTGATTGTAGGAAAAGGTGCACAATCGCTCATCACCCGAATCTCAACAATAATCTCAAGAAAAATGGAAGATGTGTTTTCTTACGGTGCACTCGTTTTTCACTGTATAATCAGGCATGTGAATTTTACTTCTTTGTTTTTGTTGTCAGAAGTTCTTGTACATAAATTGATGAAATCAGTCTTGTCGTAGAGACTAAAGCAAAAATGATTTGAAGTTAGCGACAAACCCTTATGATTTCCGCTTATTAGGCTTATCCGCGCCACTGATTCAAAAAAGCAGCTCGGAGAAGCGAAAATGTCAAATATGGGAGTTTCCCAATGCTCTACAATTGTTGAGTCCGCCGTTTTCCACCGTTTTCCATCTTTTCGTATCTAACTGTAAGTAATGGTGGATATAGTCGAGTAGATTTTCCGCTTGATATGGTGTGCTCACCATGTCGAGAAAATGCACTAAGATTTTGAGCGTGAACAAGTAGGTTCGCCTGTAAGGCCGGCAATTTGCGCGCGCATGTAGCCGGCATTGCAGACATTGCTATCTGTTCACGCCAGAAATTACCGCATTTTCTCGGCAACGCAAGCAACTATCGTAGACGGAAGATCTACGTGACTGTATGCATTCATTGCTTAAAGACGTAGTACGAAACTTGTCGAGCAACTGACGTGGACCAAGGATTTTTGTCAGCTTTTTTCCTCACTGCTATGCCGTAGACGCAATATTCAGCCATGCATCTAATTGACAGCCTTTGTGCTATCTGGAGTGAGTAATTGTTCCGACTAGACAGCCGCGCTCCGAGCGATTTCAGCTTCCATTTTTTCGGGTTTCCATATGAATGCATGCGCTTATCAACGTAAATCCAACGCTACCACTTAGTCTTTGCTAGAAATGTGGTTTTCGTATACCATACAAAATTTTCCAGCAAATCAGGGGAGCCAGTTTCGCGGAAAATCTGCTGTTCTCAATTTTCGGCTATTTTTGTTCCATAATATTCTTTTGCGTTTTTTGCGAGCCACTCATCAATGAACTCTTGACTTATTGCGTCAGGAAGAGAAATGTGATCTTGCATTTGCAGAAAAAGCTGATGTGCCCAAAGGGATAAGACCAAAAACGAGGGAAATGCAATCACTTCGGCAAAAGATTAATTGCTTGTCCTTTGTGTGACAAGCAGCAGCCTTCAGAAAGCATTGCTTTGACAGCAGTATTGCAGCGCAGCTTACTCTATTGGACAACTTCTCCTACATTTCCGTTTTTTCTCCTTTTTTGGATGCTTTCAAAATTTATTCAAGTATCTTCTTTGGAGCCCAGACAACTGAATCAGGAATTCCTTTTTATGTTCGAAACTGGTTCCAATGAAAAAAAAAGCTTTTTGCTAGGATTTCTCGCTTGCATCTTTTTTCTCATTCAATCTAGCATCGTCTTTGCTCGGCTTGCCAAAACGATCATTTTGCGGAAGATGACTGCTAGAAATTGAATCGGCTCAGCGGATTAGCCTTTCACGAAGAAATCGCCGCAACTGCCGCTGCTGCTATCAATTCGCAACTATTTTATAAAAGATTTGACCAAAAGTGTTTTCGTGTTTTCGTTCCGCGGTTTAATTCATTATAAGTTTTCTTCGAAAGAACTCGCAACTCTCGCAGGCTCAAACTAATTTTGTATCAGCTTTCAACATACTACCGGACAATATACATCTATAGCCTGTTCCAGCTGAGAGTTGCAGTTTACAGCTCCCTGCCAGTACGCGACGCAACCGCCGCGCCATGTGTCAGAGGCGGGCGTTTAGCAGTATATCCGTTATTCCGCTGCTGATTATTGAAAAACTACTCAAAGGCACCGTCCACGCTAAGTTGAGGATATTGAGCTTTTGGCGGCATGTAGTGGGGCCCCCTATCAATCCAATTCCCAAGTCGCGGCGCAAAATGCCGTTTCGGAAACAAGAAAATGGCTTCGGAATAGCGAAGATGCCCGGCCTCCCCATCCATGCCCGCCCATTTGTGCGCGCCCATGCAATCACCGTTCTGGAAAGCTGGCCTGTAGGTTCTCCGGAACTGGGATCGTCGGGATTTTCGCGCATTCTCAACTTCATATTCGGAATCAGGGACATGAGAAGGCCCTGAAACGACAAAAACGTGGAAGTCGAAAATCTGGGTGCACAGTGCCTTTAAACGCTTTTATATAACCTTATTTTAGTCAAGTTTGGCAATATTTTGATCTAATGTTGTATCTCACTGAAATCATAGAAAAGGGCAAAGACTAATTGATTTTACATGACTTTTTTGCGCGATAAAGTATATTAGCTACTAGAACCGATAATAAACAGCCTAAAAACTACAAAAATATGCGAGCCAAAAACACTGAGCTCAAAATGTGCTCCAGAACCTAACGCAAGGCGTACGCGTGCGCGTCAGATCTCGTTGGCAATCAAGTTTGAAACCGCTATAAGCATACGCCAAACTTGTTGCATCTGCTTGCCACATCATCCACTTCGCCTTTGGTCAAATCAGTGAACTGACCAATAACGAAGTGGATGAAGGGATTAAGTGGACGTGCGCTTCGCTATTTTTCAGTTCACTGATTTGACCAGTAGCGAAGTGAATCAAATTGATCAAACATGGCGCATGCCAAGTTTGGGGTCAGAAGTTTTCAGTTTGTGGAGGAAAAGGAATGCATTTCATTCAAACTTTCTCGTCATTATTAACCCAATCGTTCCTAAGTAATTTATAAATTTTTTACCTCTCCCTCCGCCCCTTACAATTAGACCCCCCCCTTCCTAATGGCTGAATGGGCAAAAAGCTTGACATTGAGTCTCGTAGCGACGACGTTTGTTCTTAGCGTCTATTGTTGTGAGACTGCCTGTCTGTCTTCTTGATTGGCGTCTCTTGGGTATGGAAGAAAAAAGGGCGAGCGGAAGTCACATTGCTTGTGCCCACCTAGAATTTTCCACCGCAATGGCTTTCTTCGTTTTTCTGGGCTCGCTAATTTGGTTACAAAATGCACTTTTGACATGTCTGCGGCATACATTTGATTTTCTCGGAGCGAACTTCTAGAACGCATTCATTATGGTCTCAGTGAGCTAAAGATTACTACGAAAATCTCTACTACTGTTCTGCAGGCACTGCTCCCGCTTTTAACCTACAGTAATCAGGAGTCAAATCGGAATATTCCCCAACAAGAACTTTGATCTCAAATTAATTTTGAAAATGATTTTTCTTTCTTAGGCTTCGGACAGAGTTCACAGTGTTGGAAATCTATCACAACCGAAATGCAAGCTGATCGGCATGCAATGAACTCGTAACAGTTGTTCTGTAGCGATTGAATCGCGACGATCAAATCACGTGAACTCTGTTCGAGGCCTTACGAGATGTTTATGGCGCAAAGCGATTTCAATATTTGAAGAGTTTGACTATTTTCCATTGGAGGGGATGGGGCAAAGAGGAAAATCGTTGATTTTTTCTCATGCTCAGCAGAACTATCCGTCTCTTCCCAGGAAAGGGTCGCTAATTTTTGCAGGGAGACGTGAGCTATAAAGCTGTGCACGACTTGTAAATTATATGAAAAATTAGAATCAATGCTTTCTAATTACATTAATTTCATGGATGGGACCACAATATCATCACAATATCCAAGAATTTTCGTAATCATATGGTCTCGTGTCTGATGTGTACTGCTCATGATACCGTTGGAGGCGGCGTCCACCCAAAATCTATTTACCCCAGGTTATTACTCATCGTACCAGCAGGCCCAAAAGTAGACCAACCTTGTCGGTCCGGTTTTGTAGTGTTGCTTACAAAGGGAGGTAATGGACCTGAATCCTCTTTGCGCTCCGCCCCCTTTTTTGCGCTCCTCCCACTTATGGATTGGCCCCGTGGCGTGTTCGGACATGATAAGCAACGTCAAGATGCATAGTTTATGATGTGGCACTGCTGCTTACGATGTGACGAGCGCCGGGTTACTCGTCCACGTCTGTCAAAATAGGGCTTCAGAAAGGGGCAATTTTGGAGCTTTGTGGTAATTTGAACCTCATATCCGAAGTCAGCGCCATGGAAAGGCCCTATAAAGGTAAAGACATGGAAGACATTTTGGATGGACGCTGGCTTTAAGTGGTAGCGCTCTTCCAAAGAAAATCTACTTGTTCGTAGAATTTGAAGAAAGAGATTAGAAGGAAGTAAGTGGAGGAGCGGTCACTTGTACAATACTTTGTTTAGAAGGATTAAATGAAGTATATTGTGGTGTTTGTATGTAGAATGTGCATAAAAATTTCCCGTTAATGCTTTTTTAGACTTTGTAGCATTGTTGTGAAAACTGAATTGTGTATAGAAAGTATATTTGTATCAAAATAAAACCTGTGAGGTCGCACCGTGCTTTCATTAATCCCCGCAACGGTTTCATATAAACTTGTGTCAAACTCGTCTACTTTATTTATTTATTTTTCGCTCGTCTGCACCTCTAATCAAGAAAATATTTTCATCATTGTTCGCTATCTATGCGGCAATCCCAAAATCAATTATCAAGCAAATATTTTTTCTTCGAATCAAAGAAAGTCTGCACGTTAAAGTCATGTGATATGCTCTGACAAATTTTCTTGGTCATTTCCTCTTTTCAACGCCTCCTCAGCTGGATATCAGATTCTTCACTTGCAGACTGCAGCAATCAGCTGATGAGCTTCTCGGCTATGCATTTATGGCTTGCAAAGAAGGAAGGAGCGAGGGGCAAAAACTTCAATGACGGCAAGGATGAGACTTTCATTGCTGCCTTCTAGCTCCTCTTCAATAGTGTTTTCCTCTTGATTTGGCAAACTTTCCAAAGAAAAAATTTCATTATTTCATTATGTTTTTAGCTAGAATATGGAAGAAGAGCCTGGTTTTTGATTCATGAAATATGTTAAATTGTTACATAAGTTCTGTTACACTACTTTCTTCCTCTGGAAAACTCTTTAAAAAATGTCTGGTATTTGGCATATATGGGAAAGGGATTAAAGCCTATTCATCGACGTTATTATCATTTAGAAAATTAGTTCAATACATGAGCAATTTTGTAGAGGCACTTCGAACTTATTCTTTTCTTTTTTTCTGGTTATTCTCTCAGATTTTTTTCATCTTTCTAGATTCTTTATGGACTTTTGAGCATCAGTAGTAACACGGACGCGACTTGGATGTATGAGATGTTTAGCGCAAGTTGAAAAATTTGCCAAAATAATTAGGA